ATGATATCTCAAGAAGCTATCATCATATTCAGATGAAACAAGTCTGATAATATGGAACATGCAAATTCTGATAAGATTTTGGTCAAACCATGCATAACTAATTTGTATCAATTACCAGACCAAAGTTCTACTTAATTCCAAAGGACTCCGGTGCCCCTGGGTCCCATATTATTTTTAAAGCAAAACAATAAATGATGAGTTTGGTTTCAACTGCCAAAACTTCATATTGTGCTTGACTCAATTGAGAAACTAACATCTACTCACAGTTTGACGTGACTTGATATTATTTGCACTGATATCCATGAAAATTTTTATTTTCTCATCAATTGGGGAGAATCTAAATTAGATTGAATTCTCGCAATCTGTTCAACAAATAATGCGAGAATTTGGATACTCGCCAGTGAAACTTATAGAATTTAAAACTAATTGATCCTCACATTAATGAAAATTAGGATATTTTGTCAAAAATCGCAGCTATAGCATTATGGGATATTTCTTGTGTAAAACTTACCATATTTTTTGTGTAAAACAGTAAATTTAGCACATGCCCCTTGAATCACTGTATCTATGTCAAAACTTTGTTCTGTTTGTTCTATGTTGAGTTAATTTTACATTGCTTTCCATCAGAATATTTGGAAAGAGAAATTTAACACGAATTTCTTTGACTGGAGTCGCTGATGCATTGAATAATAACCATGATGCGGAGTCTAAAGGAGTCAAAGCACATTTCCGGATGGATGAAAGTGGACTGTTATATTTAGACAAGGTAAGATGGTGTCTCTTTTTTTAAAATAAGTTTTCAGTCCTGCTGTTACACTAAAAAATTGCGTATTCTGGGGGTTGATTTCACCGCATGAACGTTCAATAGCTCACCTGATCCAAAGAAACCAACAAGGGAGAAATCAACCCATCATTCTGGCATGGAAACTGACTGATACTACAACTCAAAACTTTGTTATTCGTTAACATTGAATGAATTGGTATTTCCCATCTAAATATGGTTTTTAACTAGATTTTTCCTACACTGCCATTTTTTTTCTCTACTAGTTTCATATGTCCTTGTGTAAAAGATTTTTATCAATGATCTTGCTATTTTGAATTTGTGCTTCTGGTTTTTTTTTCCCCTCCATTCACTTGTGTAAATCAGTTATATTTAAAATGGCATTTTGATGCAGCTTCAAGTTGTATTCCTACTTTGAAAATCTTTGAGGTACCATCATCTGACCAATATTTACATATACTGCAAAATATAAATTTAAGCGAGCCTCTTAAATTAAACTAGATTTGTAAACAATAGACATGCACTCACTGAGTTAGGGGGCTTTGTTTGTCTTGAAAGTCGGTTTGTTTCTTTAAGGGATGAGACCCACCAGCACTCTCAAAATAAAATGAGCAGGAAAGTAAGGCCAAGATCTCTCTACTTATATAAATTATTAGCTAAAATGGTGACATTTTTACACATTTTCAGGGAATCTTTCACATATTTGCCAAGAGGGAATGAATTTAATGCTGTTGACAACAGAGTAGGGCAATGCGAACTGTGTTAGTCCCTGTTCAGATATCGTCCAAAAACAGGGGCTTGTGAATTGACGCTGTGTGTGCATGTGTCGAACCCTATATCTTAGACATGGCAGCCATTTTGTTTCAATGAATGCGGTTCTAGTTCTTTGACATGCTTTAACTGGTTACGTTCAAATTTTATATATTCATTATACATGTTATAGATATACAGATATATTGATTTGACAATCTGATTCAAAATGGCCGACCAGTGGCCTTTTTGTTTCAATTAATGCTGTTCCAAGACAATATGGACAAGTATTCATTTGACGATCAGATACATGATGACTGAATGTCAATCAGCGCCAAGATCCATATCTCTGACATGTTTATGTTCAAACTATATTACTGTAAACAAAACTATCTATCTTAAATTTGTTAACTAACTGGGACTGTGCCATGCATGGCTTGTTTATTTTTAAAATGTCAAACTTAGAAATTTGTGTCACAATTACTGATT